TTGGGGAATTTCAATGACCTTGGGGCAACTTAAGATAATTTCATAGAGCATTGAAATTTTTACAGAGTATTTCTGATATGAATAGACAACTTTTGCACACCCAGGCAAAATGAATATCAAAAAAGAAAAAAAAAAAATCTAAACTTTTTTCCGTAAGTTACTTTTTGATGATTTTGGTGAATTTCAAAGTCTTTGGGGCACCTCAAGAAAATTTCCTAGAGCATCGCAATTTTTACAGAGTATTTCTGACATAAATAGAAAACTTTTGCACACCCAGGAAAAATGAACTTAAAAAAAAAAAAATTTCACTGCACCCTATTGCTCAGTGTGCAAGGATTCATTTTCACATGAGTTTGAGGCCCACATAAAATATTATCGTGTAACGATAATATTCTATGTGAGCCTCAAACTCATAAGGTTTTTTTCTTAACACAGCTTTCTTGTAATTATTTATCTGAAAATTCGCTTGCTTGATGGTTCACCGAGGTCGCTATTAATAATTCCAATTAAAATTTTCTAAATTTAATTAGTTAACAACTTTTACGCAAATCCTCTCTATACTACTACCAATGATATATAAATATCATTGACTACAACTAAATGTAAAATTAGCAAACAAATTTAAAAATAATTTTATAAACATTAATTTTTATTTCCGTTATTATTCGCAAAAGTTTAAAAGGACAGAAGCAAAAGCCAAGTTTGGCTTTTTCTTCTGTCCCTTTAAACTTTCGCATTCGCAAATGCCCAATAAAAAATCTGGGGGATGCTTAACTTTTCGTTGTCTTTTTTTACGGTTACCGCAGGTCTACTAATACGCCATTTTTTTCGGCATTTCGGCTTTTCGGCGTTTTAGAATTCGGCTTTTTAGGCAGTCCCTAAACATAACGCTTCAAACAATTATTTTTAATAATATACTTTTGTGTACAAATAATAATTTAAATGTTTATAATGAATTTAAAAAAATTTCAAAAGTAAAAGAACTTGTTAATTTTAATGAACAATTTTCAATAAAGCGTAAATCAAGTAAGAATCAACCAAATGACTTATTATTGCAAAGTTGATCATGAATGAAGATGAAGTGTTTGAAAATGACAATTTATTTGCAGAAATCTCAATATACTAATCTAAACAACAAAATTGTTTCAAACTTCAAGTATATAGTCTATGAAACCGTGTACTATTTATAACCCAGTTGCATAAAAAAAAAAAGATTACTGTTCGATATAAAAATGTTAACTGTCTTAATATATGTAACTGTGAAATGACGTAACTTATCGGGTGGACACGGAAAAATCCGGTCATCTTAAAATTGAGATTTCTCCAAAACCACAAATGCTTTTTATTTAATTTTTTTTTTTAATTAAACCTTACTTCCTTATCTTAAATGGTGTTGATAAATTTTTGTTTACAAATTAATGATTTGCAAAATGTTTTGGAAACAAGTTGAGGTGCGTAAAAAAGTTGTGAATTTTTTTTGGAAAAATCCATCGACTTCCTATCGCTTGATTGCTAAACGCACAAATGTTCCAAAATCTACATTCATAGATATTATAAACAAGTTCAAGACTACTTAAAGCTTCGAAAGAAAACTTGGAAATGGAAGAAAAAAAACTTTCCACAAATCCAAAAAGGTAAAGTCGATTTTACGTTCAATAGCAAGAAATCCAAGTCAGTCACAGCGAGATCTAGCAAGAAAATTTAAGGCTTCTCGTTCTTATATCAAAAAAGTACTTAAAAATGCTGGAATTAAAGCATTTCATAAAAAAAAATACACCTAAGAGAAGCTTAAATTGTGAAATTAAAGGAATTCGACGCGCAAAGAAGTTGGTTAAAATAATGGCGGATAAAAATATGTGCATAATTGAAGACGACGAAACGTATTGGAAGGCGGAATTTTCGCAACTTCCTGGTCAACAGTTTTACTATGAAAACAAAGATAAATCTGTCGATGATCAATTTAAATATATTCGACAAGAAAAATTTGCATCCAAGTTCCTTGTGTGGCAAGCAATTTGTAACTGTGGTATGCAGTCCTCTTGTTTTGTCACTAAAAAGACCTTACAATCTCTACATCAAAGAATGCCTCCAAAAAATACTTTTGCCTTTTATAACACAAATACCGATGTCTCTTTTGGCCCGATCTTGCTGCCTCTCACTATTCTAAAAAAGTTTTACAGTGGTGCAAAGATAATAATGTGAAAATTGTTCCTTAAGATCCTCCAAATCGTCCTGAAGAGCGCAAGACTGAAGATTTTTGAGCAATAGTTAAAGGAGTTCTTCGTAATACAGGTGGACTAACAAATAATAAAAAGGACTTCCAAAATAAGTGGATTAATGCCACCAATATGGTGAAAAAAGAAAAAATCTGTAAAATAATGGCATCAACCCGCTATAAAGTTCAATTTCTTGCCAAGCAACCCATCAAGCCCCTTAAAATTAAGTTGAAACTCTAATTTATGTAAACACATTTAATAATAAAAAAATTAAAATAAAAAGCATTTATGGTTTTAGAGAAATCTCAATTAAAAGTTGACCGGATTTTTCCGTGTCCACCCGATATTGATATCTAAACAGGCAAATTTCAAATTCATATAAAGTTACAATTTTATTAAAGTTTCTTTTTTAATATAATATATTTTTTACTTATATTTGTAAGGTTTCATTTTTTAGACAAAAATTGCAGAATATTCAAATTCTATGTAAATGCAACGCATTATTTTTGTAGGGAAACTTATTAAGTGTAACTTTATCATCAAATTTTATCAGAATATTGAAACCGAAAATGATCACCTTCAAAACATTTTGCTTTCTTCATTAACAATAATACCAACTAAAACAAAGTTCAAATGATTAACTCAATAATAATCATTAATGATTAACTCTATAATAATCTTTAATGGTTAACTCAATAATAATCTTTAATGATTAACTCTATAATAATCTTTAATGATTAACTTTATAATAATCTTTAAAAGGAATCTTTAAATAAAAAGAAAATTTTGGTTATCATATTTACATAATACTGTAGTTTAAATCATTTTAATTAAATTTTATTTTTTCCAGAGCAGGTACTGATAAATTGTGAAACTTCTTTCTACCTTTTCTCCTTGTATAAGCGTTCTTAGAATGTATTACTTTCACACGAAGAATATTTAAAATTAACATGGTTATGTCTTGTTTGTTAATTGCTTGTAAACATCTGTTCGTATATTTTTTTAAATAGACAATAGATGCTTTTTCGTCTTCTGTAAGAAGAGTACAGTAGTTTCGTTCTTGTCATTAATCACGTATCTGTCTTATAGTTTATTAAAAAGTCTCTCTATCTCTAAAGAGACGAGACGTCTTTAATGCTGTTTAATTCGTCCCATTCACAAGTTTATAACACTTTCTAATTGTTTATTTATATAATTTGTATGTTTTCTGGCAATTGTGGCATCAGTTTTTGCAGTGAGATTTCTAACTTTGTTTATACGTAAACGTATTGCAAATATAGGTTTTATTTTACTTGATATTAAAATAAACAAAATTCTAAAACGGAAAACATAAATTACACATTATACATTTTTTATTCTAAATCATCTTGGTTTTTTGGGTGCCAATGATGTTGTTTTATGTTAAGTTGATGTATTCTGCAAAATATAAGTTTGCAATTATCAATATCAGGTCTTAATTCAGTGACAAAATGATATTTAGAGTCGTCGGGAAACAAAGAAAATGAGTGGGATTCAATAGGGGCAGGAGTTATGGGGGACACAGTATTACCTAAAGGTTTTTTTGAGGGTTGCAAATATAATAATTATATTACGTTGATGCTTTAAAATGACTTTTACCAGGACTATTGCGTAAACATTAGGCACTAAACAAAATAAAGTTTAAGTTCATTTTAGAATCTTTAAAAATTATTCTGAGATAAAAGGTTTAAGTAAGTTATGGATCTATTTTTGAAAGCCATAGAAGTTTAACTGTATATTTATTTGTTTCTGTTTTATTTAAGAAAGGTTGTTTCTTTTCTGAATATGGCAATTGTTTCGAGTTTTGATCTATTGTGTCCATTTTCTGCAAAAATTTTTACTAAAAGCTGAATTTCATTATTCAAGATAGTTTGTCGAACAAATTTTCAGTGAAACGAGATACAAAACATTTTTAAAAAAATGTCCTTAGCTATTTTTGGATTAACGTTTGATATTGGTTTTATTTATATAGTAGTGATAGCAGACTTTTGTGGATTTTGAAATCATAGTACGAGTATTAGTATTGGTTACATTTATATCTTAGAAGTTTAACTTTTGCTTTATTTTTTCGTTTTCTAATGTATATTTTTTTGATGGATCTTGTTTGTTTAATAATTTTAGTTAAATTTAGCATGACTGTCATCTAAGTATTTTCTATAATTTTTTTTTAGTGAAAATTGACCAAAATCAACAATAATAAGAGTTTTTGTTTCTAAATGTTGTATAAAAGCTTTATCTACTACGACCATTAAGGACATTTTTATATAGCCAATCAATCGGCGCAGGCACCGTTTTTGTATATGCAATATAAAATATAAACTTTTTTTATTACAATGGTCTTTATAAAAAAAATAATTAAACAGACATAGGCTCAAACAAGATAAAGATGACAATACGTCATCGCAATCTTTTCTTAGAGCCCCTTTAGATACTTTTAATAGAATATAGATACTATATAGAATATAGATATTATATAATATATATAGATATATATATATATTAGAATATAGATATTATATATAGATATTATATATTATATAGAATATAGATATTAATAACCCTATAAATACTCATAGTACAGTAATTTAAATAGAAAGACTGTACAATAAAAAAAAGTTTGAAGTATTTATAAACTTTAATGTAAATTATGGTGCATTAGGTGAAATATGAAAAAGTTTGCACAAACAAAATTAGTTTTTATAATATTTAATTTATTTAAAGTATTGCATAAGTATACATTTTCTTCATCATTTTATAATGCTACAAAACTTTTCAAAGATTTTTTTTAAACAGTAAGCCTCTTTTAACAAGCAAACGACACAAATTAGGTCTGCAATAAGATTTTTAACAACTAATATACTTTTTGTAACCAATAAATAGTGAAACATTTTAATCTTATCATAATTCACACATCTTTAAACTCATTCGTAATCTTTACAATTGAAGTAGAAGAATAATATATCTAAAACTGAATCTCAAAATAGTATTAAAGAAACATATTAAATAAAAAAATCTTTTTATTTTATGAGTTTTTTTTTTAATACTCCCAATAAATTGATGGCTTCACTTCCTCCTCTGTAGCGTAAATATTTCCATTTTTATCACTTCTTAAATATTTTCCATTCGGAGCAAGAATTACCATTCTGTTTTTACTATGAAGCTGGCAAAAGAACAAATCACCTTCTAAATCAGAAAAAATCATTGAATCTGAATCTTTTATTTTCCATGACTTTCCGTCGGAAAACTTAAAACGATACTTTCCACTTTCGTTTGATACGTACATTGCAGTTCCAGCACCACGGTTACACATAACTTTTGTTGATGATGATGATAATCCAACGTAACCATATTCACAACGAAGAACAAGTATTGGGCGATTGACTATTTGGATTGTAAATAAAGAGTTTTCATCTTTGTTATTCTCAGATACAAGTGAAAGCTTCCCACCGGACGATGAAGTTATATAGCTTCCACAAAAGTTTTTTAGCATAACGTGTTGATCGTGCCACTCCATTTGAAAATAACTGTTCATAGATATATCAGACTTGGCAATGACTGATTTATCTGTTGTACAAAGGTATGTTTTTAAATTTGTAACTATGGTTACGCAATCCTCTCTATTTATGTCAAAACCAATTTGAAATATTTCAGACGCACCAGCCTCTTCAAAAACATTGGCAGTAACATCAACCCCTAAATACATTTAAAAACTCAACCAATTAGTTTCATAAAAAATAATTTGCCGCAAAAATACACTTAAAATAAGAGCTTATTAAGTATTAAAATAGATTTTATTACCAAAAAACACAATCGTATGACAAACCTTGTTTTACAGAGAACTTTTTGCCATTGCTTGCAGTAAAAATGCATTGAGGTTTACTTTCTTCGATCAAAAACTGTTCATCTTTGCCAAAGTTATCTTTATTTGCAATTAGTTTTCCCTTGCTACCTTGAACAGTTAAAAATTTATTATTGTTGCATTTAAAGCCGTACATTAATCCGTTTAGATAAAGTACAAAAAGTGTGTCATTGCTACATTTTTCATCTAAATAACCTGTTACACCATTTAAGTATCGACCGCTTAAATCTCTAAAAGCATACTTTCCATTACAAAATTCGATTGTAATAACATATTCTTTACCCCACGGAAGATCTTCGTCAGCTCTAAATTCTTCATCTGAAACGTGAACATATCTTTTCCGAGCTACACTCATTATATTACACTGAGGATGATTTGTAATATGGATCGCCCATATTGCATTTAGCCCCGCTTTTTCTTTTAATTGGCAATTAATATTTTTACTAGTTCCAGAAAGATATTTTCCACTACAATCCTTAAACATCCAGTTACCTTCGTCTGTAAGTTCAACTTCAAATAGAAAAGAATCACATTTAGTATCGCTATTGCAAGTAACGATGCCATTTTTGTCTGACTCTAAATACTTTAAATGAGGACTTCTTAAGTAACCTTTCATCGACGAGGATTTACTTTTTTCAAAGTGCCAAACTTGCTTACTGCGCAACGAAGTTCCAGTGACACTAATTTGATTTCCAAACTTCTCCGAAGTTAGATAAAAGCCTTCAGAGTTCATTAAACCAAACTTTATTTCATTAAAAAACTCGTTTTTAGATATTTCACTAGCTTCATTTGTCATTTTGTAAATTTTGACCGTAGACAAAGACAAAAAAACAACAGAAAAATAACAAAACTCAAAATTTAATTTTTTTCTTATTATTTTAGGAGCTAAACACTATTAAACAGCTCTAAATTAAAAGCTTGTTTTATAGTTAAAACTTTTCAATCCCCAAAGGAGAAAATTACATTAATTGTCCGATTTCTAAAAAAATTATAAAAATGTTTTTTTCTAAACCCTTGGAGACTCACTTTTTAAAACTTATAGATTACTTTCTTTAATTTTATAGAGAATGTTTTATAAAACATAAGTGTATTCATAAAAAGTAAATAACATCAATAAATGTTATTAGAAACTTTACTTTTCTATGTAAGTAAAGTTTCTTACCTGTTTACTAATATAATACTAGATATATAAGAATAATAATTTAATATTATATATCTATACCTTTGATATCTTGTGAATTTATTGTTTAGTTCATGTTACAGTTTGTATAGGTCTTATAAAAGAAATCAGTTTAACCAAGAAGCGAAAAATTACTTTTTCTTCTTTTTTTACTTTTTTTTTTTGCCGTCAGTAAATAAATATTATAAAACAAATTTATTACAAATAACTTAGGCAGGACTTCCAGAAGACATATTAGTATGAAACCAATAAAGAAAAAAAAATCTTTTGTAGATTTATTTTGTTTTATTTATTGGTTTAACTGATTTTCTTTTATTATATATTATTGTACATATAACTGTACCGGTGTACCGGAAGAGACATTTTGAATTCCGGCCGGAACATGATTTGCCGAATTGTTAATAAAATTCCGTCCGGAACAAAAATTATAATTATTTTTAACCTTCAAAATTGAAAGTGAGAGCCTGCACTTCAGCATCGTGGCTGTATAATATATATTTATAACCTTGGCCGCCGAGAGCTCTCAAGCTGCCTGGGACAGCAATCCTAATTGGCGCCCTTATTTATTAAATTTTTCCTATATTGTATATAAATATTATATATAAAGGACCTTCTTTTTTTTTTTTTAGTACCTACATTTCATTTGGCGCCCCTTGGATATCTGCCACCCGGGACAGACTGTCTCTCGCAACCCCCCCCCCCCCCGCCTTTCGGCGGCACTGTATATATATAAACATACATATGTAGCATATATCAAGAAGAGCAGACGCGTTTTTATCTGTTTTAAAAAAAAAGTTGTATATATGCTTTTTTTTTTTTTTTTTTTTTTTTTTTTTTTTAAGTTTACATTTGTTGTCGTACTAAATAAATTACTTTCACAAACACAAACAAGGTTTCTGAAAGAAGATCGTACTGATCTTATCATCAGAACCTTTTACAAACGTGTGTATATAAACTACATCAAAACATAATCAACAAATAAAACGTAATAAACAATAAAAGTTCTAAAGAAAATATAAAGTTAAAAAAATCTGACTACATCATCCATTAAGATAATTAAATTTTTCAGTTTATATTTAAAAATGGGAAAAGTAAAATGCATGTTAAAATTGGACAAAACAATTTTATTCCAAAGATAAGGTGCACGATATGCAATGCAAAACTGATTAAAACTGGTTCGACAAAAGGGCTCATATATAAAATTATTGTTTCTAAGTGTATATTTATTTATTGGCTTCAAACAAAAGAGATCTTTGAAAATGGGTAAAGATATGTCATTTTTCCACATATACATAAAGCACAAAACATTAAAAACATTAAGCTCATAAATATTGAGAACTTTCATTTCAATAAAAAAGGGTTTGGAGTGAGTGTATCGATCCGCAAAATTTATTAAACGGATCGCATGTTTTTGACGGCGATAAAGGCATTTTAACTTACTTTTTTCAGTGCTTCCCCATGCTACATTAGCATAATTTAAATAACTATGAATTAATGAGTAGTAAAGTTGAGTTAGACTTTTTTTACATAAATATGTTCTGGTTTTATATAGAATACCAATATTTTTAGAAATTTTTGTACCAATATAGTCTATATGCTTTTTCCATGTTATGTTTTCATCAAGAAAAACACCTAGAAATTTTGTTACATTATGTCTTTTTATTTCAACATCATCAATAAAAATTTTAGGCAAACTTTGGGGTAAATAAGCTTTTTTAGAGACTGGGTGGAAAAGAACCCAATTTGTTTTTTTAATATTAAGAGTTAGTTTGTTGCATTTAAACCATTTGGATATACTTTTAAGTTCATTATTCATAGTATAAAAGAGTTTGCAAATGTCATTATTGGAAAAGAATAAGTTAGTATCATCAGCAAACATGATACTCATTAAATTTGAGGCTCTATTTAGATCATTTATATAAATCAAGAACAAAAGTGGTCCCAAAATGGAACCTTGTGGAACGCCACATGAAATATTTAAAAATTTATTTGGATGATCATTATTGCTGAAAACAAATTGTTTACGGTTGGATAGATAACTTTTGAACCATTTTATAACTTTGCAATTTATTCTATAATATTTTAGCTTTTGTAGTAAAATTATTATTTATAATAATATATATAAATAATATAATTAAAATTATTAATATGCTTATATATATACAACACTGTATATAGATAAGCAACCTTTTTAGCACCACAATATTTCAACACTTCTACAAATCCTCACACAATTGATTATTGCACATAAAATTAAATATTGTTTGTTAAAAAATTTGCATTTTTCACCAAGGTTTACCTCTAGCTCTTCCCCGTAGGTACGGTACGTTTTAAAAACTTTCCGTGCTCACCGGGAAGAATTATAGGTAAACCTTTTATAAGTTTAACACCAGAGCAACTGGTAACTTTATCGTACCTCGAAAAAAAAAAAACTCTTAATTCTCTATCTCTTATCGTGATTTATATAACAAATTAATTCCAAAATACAACTTAATTACTCCTGATAATATATTTTCTTTAAAATCAAAATTTAAAAATCTTGTTGATAGTTACGTAGTTCATAGAATTGTTCTAGGTCACATGATAAATCAAAATTTGAATTAAAACACTCTACAGCTAATCTTTTTTAACTGAGTGTTATTTTTTCTTCTTTTTTGTTAGATATATTTTAGCAGTATTTAAATATAACCTTTTGTAACGGAAGTATATTTTGCTTATATTATGATGTGTAAAAAATTGTAATTAATATGTAGTTGTGAAAATATATATGAAATATATAAATCAGGCGCGGATTCAGCTTTTTTTGAAATTTAAGATAGCTAACTTTCTGACATAGAACAAACATCAAAAATTTATGTTTATACTTTTCTCAAATAAAAATGGTTTGCAAAAAATTGCGGTGATAGGTGTCTGGGAACAAAAAAACCCTAAAATTATGGCCACAACTGCCCCAAACAAGAAAGCAACAAGTTCGTAAAAAATTTTTTGTACTATTCATAAATAAATTTATATTCATCGATAAATTCTAAACTTAATAATAATCTCTTAGCGTTCAGAAATAGTTGTTAAATAAGTAAGATCAAAATTGCTTTCATCAATATTTACTCAACACAAAAGTTCTTTACAACATGTACCAAAACCTCCATCCAATGTGCCATTTCCCTAAAAAATTCAGTTTTTTTTTCCAAATTGTTTAATGCATAAAACGGAAGAACTAGTAGATGTCCAATCTTTTCTATTTACAAATTTAATCCAATTTTCTATCAACTCTTATTATTTTTTGGAAACAAAAATACTACTGTAGATACTTCGCCATAACTTTGATAATTTGAACGACAATTCACAACGCAACAATTGTTAACCATATTCTTTGAACTTCCAAAGCTGCTTCTTAAAAAAAGCCTTTTATATATTTTTTCAAAATGCAAAGTATCCGGTCGTATAAATAAAGTAGACCATGAATTACGGCCGAAATTTGTGACTTTTAGGTTATTCCGGCCGGAATTAAAATAATTCTGGTCGGAATTTTTTTTTTTAAGACATGTGACACAGACTGTGTAAATTAAATCAAAAAATCATTGTCCTACATGGCAATGAACCCAGTTGGTACGGTACGTTATTAAAACATTCTTTTGGCGTTTTTGTTAGGTTTAAACCTCATAAAAACGTCTAAAAAAACCTACCGTGCCCACTGGGGAGTACTATAAGTAAACCTAGGTAAAAAAAATGCAAATTTCTTAAGAAACACAATGTAATTTTATATGCAGTATTCAATTATGTGAAGATTTCTAGAAGTGTAGAAATATTGTGGTGCTAAAAGAGTTGCTATCCAGTTTTGGGCAACAAACTAGCTTTTTTTTCATCAAAAATGTTACCTGCCTCCGATAAGTCTCATTTAAATGGTACTTCAATTTTAAATAATTAAAAAGTATAGGATGTTTAATACAGTAAATAATTTTAACCTAAGTTGAAAACAAAGAAACAATTTTAAATATAAATATTATGCAGATTAAAGTTTTCAATAAGTAAAATTATAAGAAACAAATAAAAACAACATATTAGCAAAATAACAATCAAACAAGAATCAAATCAATAAAATATATATATACATATATATATATATATATATATATATATATATATATATATATATATATATATATATATATATATATATATATATATATTAAAGGTTACAAATATATACAAAGGTTACAAATATAGCCACAATGCTGAGGTGCAGGCTTTCACTTTCAACCTTGAAGGTAAATCCGGTTCCGGACGGATTTTCCGGAAAAACTAGGGGTACACCCCTAGTTTATTATTAGTTTTCTTTTGGTACTAAAGGCAATTTATAAATTATTTGAATTTTTTTATTTGAAATTAACATGATTTTTTAGCGAATTTGGTACAAACAAGAGCTTCAGATGCTATACTTTTTTTTTGCTTTAAGTTTTTATGTTTAAAGAAACTTTTCTATAAATTTTATATAATTTTTTACTTTTTCTTTACTTTTTTTATTACCCGTAATTGCGAATCTGAAAAACACCAATTTCGAGTCTCTAGATCAATTCTGCTCAACAGCGTTAATATAATTTTATAGATTCTTAATCAAATTTGGACAAGCTACTACGATACTACGCGGGAGCGAAGAGGGGTTGGGATGGGGAGTGCCATACCCTCCAAAAAAGGCGATTTTTGAGCTATAGTCGGTTTTTTGAGGAATATAGGCGGCTAATCGGATTTGACACATTTGAGTCGGATGATTTTCAGTTTTGAGAATTTTTTTTTTTTTAAGAAAGCAGTCTTACTTACAGTCAATACTTTTTAAAGAATATCAACATTTAATTTGATTTCGGAGTCAAAAACTTTTTTTGGAAATTGAACATTTTTTTAAAACAGACTATTTATGTTCTTATCAAATCAAAATTGTTAATTTTGTATGTATGATCAAATGTATGTCAAAATTGTAAATATTTGTATGTACGATCATATGTGCATTTAATATATTAATCTATTTAAGATATGTTTATTATACCTTATTTTAAGTATATTATATTTAATATAAGTTCAAAATTTCTTTATTTAATGCATTATATAAGTAACCAAACAGATGTTGCATAATAATTAACTGCAAGTAAAAAAACTTATGGGTATACATTTACAGTCGGCAAGCCTCACGAATTTTTATTGAACATTTGTTCAAATATTAAATTAATCACTACACAAATACATTATTTGCGGAAATCATTTTATGTAAAACGTGGCCTTTCTTTCAGTTTATCGCTTCCTGTTTTCATCGACTCGTCTTTGCTCGCTTTACGAATAATATCAATAACTTTTAATAACTTTTCTTGCCTAGCTTTGTGAATGCTTTTACCAGAAAATATTTCCTCAGCTTTTGTAAGATAAAACATTGCATGTGAAAAATTTTTTTGTTCTAAACTTAAACTTCCTATTAGCTCATACAACTCAGCACATTCTACTGACATATCGCCATAATTAATTTCACAATCCTCTATGCACTTAAGTAAAGCCTCTTTGGCCTCCGTATACCGACTCTGTTGAATTAGAACTTTACAGAGCATTGATTGAAGAGATATTATCTGATCCATGTCATTGTCTTCAACATGAACTTTTAAGGCTTCTTGAATATGATATTCAACTGTTGCATAATCAACAATTTCTTTTTTACTTTCCACCCGACTCAAAAGCAAGTGAACTTGTGCAGTTTTTTTTTTATTATTTGATATATTTAAATGTTTTAGCGCGTTTAAACCTGCTTCATTAGCTGTTGATACATTTATATGTTTATCGTTCATTAATTCTAAATTGATGATTTGAATATAAAGTTTAGCCATTTTTGAATTTTTATTTGTAGATATTTTATCTGCAACTGTAAGTGCATATTCAAGGTATTCAGCTGCCTGACCCATTTGCCCCATTTTGCATGCTGTCTTAGACAAGCACGACATAATATTTACTTTTACTTTTAAAAACATGTCTGCACAAACATTGCATCTATCAGATACAACTTTTGCTTTTTGAAAACAATTTTCAGCTACTTTATATTTTCTTAATTGGTTATATGCACGACCCATTGCAAGATACAACTTTTGAAGCAATAGCTGTACTTCTGAACTTTCCTCCTGCACGCTCAATAAAATATCTAAGGCAAGTTTTACATGTTTTAGCGTTTGTTGTGGAAATTTTTTTTCTTTTAAATAAGAAATAGCCAATTCTATATGTGCTTCTGCAACTTTCCAGTGTGCTTCACCATAGACGATTTTTGACAAAGCAAGACAGCAAATTTTATCGAACTTTTGCATCTCAATACTATTTTTATAGCTTTTGATACTAAGTTGATTAAGCAATTCTTCAGGAGGTAATTGACTTTTATTTTCTGTGAAAATTCCACTGATATTATCATCTTGGTTTAATTCTGAAACAAATAAATATATAACTACGAAATAAATTTAAAACGTGGTTTATTTTATTATCATAGTATTTCAGGGCCGACGACACCGAGGGGGCCAGAGGGGTATGTGCCTTCCCCACTTTTTTCTAAAGGACCTTTTTTTTTTTTTAGAAAATTCTAGATATTGAGAACTTTTTTTAGATATTGACGATTGTGCCCCCCCCCCCCCCACTTCGAAACCCGTGTCGTCGGCCCTGTATTTTATACATTTGTAAGATCAAATTTTGTATTAGTATATAGTATTTATATAAAGTATAATACAGTACATATAATATAGTATATTATATATATAACATAGTATATAATATATATGAGTCAAATAATTATACTTCAACCAATTTTGAGAAAACTTTTTGGGGCACCATCTCTATTTTTTCTGATTTTTACATATCATCTACATTATGTAGGTAGGTTAAATTTGAAATTTTAGACTTCCAAGTGTAACGGTTCAGAAAATATAGCTCCATAAACTCTGCGCAGTGGCCCCCTCCATTTAAGAATTGTAAAAACAGACTACTTTAACGCCTTATAACTTTTTCTAACTTTCAACAAGTGTCTCATTTTTTCTAGAAGTGTTTTCTGGTTTTTGTTGACTCGTATCATATTATAAATCATATCTAAAAATGTATTGTCCATTTGCCAAAAAAGTCCCATTTTCAGCCATTTTGAAATGCTCGTATTTTTCTAACACTTTGTATTGATCTAAACATTAACAGCAATTTAGACCATAAGATCCAACTATCTGAAAATGCAAATGTTTTTTACTTGTTGTATTCACAACAAAAATGGCAGTATTTTAAAATAGCCTTACTTTTTAATTATTAAGTGTTGGACGCATTATCGGAAACCAGTGCCCCTCCCTAATTGCATATTCAATGGGTGCAACTAATTATATATTGTTTCTTAAAAAAATAAAAAATATAGCTGATTGCCCCCATGCTGATCTATTTTTTTACTTGGGTAGGGGAACAAAAAAAGGGGCAATAACTAGTTAAAACCCAGTATTATTGATAAATAGTAATACCTTAAACATTTTTAAGTAAATCTTATAATTCAATTTACATTATATTTCTGTTATTTAAAATACTAAAATTCAAATACTGAATAAGTGCAATCAGTGGCAGTGAAAATGAATGAATGAATGCATGAATGGCTATGTGTAGTAGAACAATACAAATAAAGCTATTATGATTCCCAGCTAGCACTTACATTAAGCCAACGTATGTAAAACCATCGCGAACGTCGGCTCTTTTTTCCAATGCAAAACCAACGTTGATCTAATGTCATTTGGTTAACAATAAAATTATTACCGACGGAACTAAAAACATCTTGCAAATTTACGTTGGTATGTAAAAACATCGCAAAAAATTAATTGTTTTTACGATCTAAACCCAACGTTAATCCAATGTATATAAATCAACGTTTTTCCAATGTATGTAAAAACATTGCATAAAATTGATTGTTTTTACGATCCAAACTCAACGTTGATTTAATGTATATATTTCGACGTTGATTCAATTTATATAAATCAAGGTTAGTTATAGCTGCATGCAAAATTCGATCAAGGTTAGTTATAGCTGCATGCAAAATATTAAATCCATCATTAGTTCACACAACCACAAGATTTTACAAAGTAAAAGAAATAAAACTACAAAAACATGCAACTGTATTACTAAAACCGCTTGTCCATTAAGTAACCAATGTTTAGTAAGTAATATTGTTTACCAAGCCACAGTGAGTTCTAATGATCCAGATCCTAAGGAAAAAGTATATTTTGGTATCAGTGAGACACCATTCAAGCTCAGATACGCAAATCATTTAAAGTCTTTTAATGCGATCAAATATAAAAATGATACTGAACTTTCAAAAGAAATTTCGAGTTTAAAAGAAAAAGGTACAACACCTATTATAAAGTGGAAAATTGTAAAACGCTGTGAAGCTTACAAACTAGAAACAAAAACCTGCAAACTTTGTCTTCATGAGAAGTTAGAAATTTTATCTTTTAATGGAAACAACCTGCTTAATAAAAAAGACGAAATATTATCTAAATGTCGACATTTAAATAAATTCCTGTTATCTTCGTTTGATACTGGAGATTAAATAATTGCGCCTTTTCAAATTACGTCAGAACTCGTTCTACCGTAAAATTTTGATTTGTTTTTTAAACGTTAATTTTTAATTTGTTATTAATACCTGATGATTGCCGAAAGGCACGAAACTTTAAGTACTATTATAATGTTGTTTTTCTTCATTTAAATAATATATATATATATATATATATATATATATATATATATATATATATATATATATATATATATATATATATATATATATATATACATATATACATATATATACATATATACATACATACATATATATATATATATATATATATATATATATATATATATATATATATATATATATATATATATATATATATATATATATACATATATACATATATATACATATATACATACATATATATATATATATATATATATATATATATATATATATATATATATATATATATATATATATATATATATATATATATATATATATGTATATATATATGTATATGTATATATATATGTATATATATATATATGGTTACCCAGTTTAAAAAATAAATCAGTATGGGGGCAATCAACCATATCTTTATTTTTTTAAGAAACAATTTATAATCAGTTGCACTCGTTGGATATGCAATTAGGCAAGTGAGGGGGGGGGGGGGAGGGCACTGGTTTCCAATAATGCATCCAACCCTTGATAATTAAAAAGTAAGACTATTTTTAAATGCTGCCATTTTTGTTGTGAATGCAACAAGCGGCTTATTTTTTGCCTGTTTGTTACAGATAAGAGTAGCTAATCAGAAAATTAAACTGAAAGGACATATTGCAGAATAGAAAAATACTACAGTTAACTTCGGCCTTTTTTAGCATTTTTTCAAACTTTTTTCGAAGTTGAGGAGGCTATAATTTTTTTCTAATACGATACGAGTCAACAAAACCAGTGTTTTTAATACAGAACTACCCAGAAAACACTTCTAAAAAAAATGAGACACTTGTTGAAAGTTAGAAAAAGTTATAAGGCTTTAAATGGAGGGGGGCCACTGCGCAGTGTTTATGGAGTTATATTTTCTGAACCGTTACACTTGGAAGTCTGAAATTTCAAATTTAACCTATCTACATAATGTAGATAATGATATGTAAAAATCAGGGAAAATAGAGATGGTGCCCCACAGGCCATTAGTTGAAATATAATGATTTGACTCATATATAGTATATATATATATATATATATACAATATAGTATATTACAATATAGTATATTAATATTATACAATATAAATATAAATTATACAATATAGTATATTAACATAGTATATTGTATTTATATGTAGTATGATACAAAAATTGATAACTGAAATGATACAAAATTTTACAACTTTCTTTAATATAACTTATATTAAAGTTATAAAAGAAAACTTAATAAAAAAAGTGTAAAAAAACCAATGTCAGGTCGAAAATTAAGATTTAAGATTAGAGGTAAAAAGATTTCTGAGATAAAATAAAAGGACAATAGGGTTTCAAAAACATTTGAAAAACATTTTTAAAATTTTCGCTAACAAAACTATATAAAAATTTCGAAAATTTCACAAATTATAATAATTTTATAATAAAAACCTTTTAAAATAAAAACTTTCTTTTTATTTTAAAAAGTAATTTTTTTTGATATTACAAACCCGAGTCTTCATAAGTCTTGAGGAACAACAAATAATAATTTTTGTAAACTAAATTTTGAAATACCATTTTATGATACAGAAAACATATAATGGGGTTTGGAGCAAACATTAGTGTTGTTTTAAGAACTACCCGAAAGGACATACTTCGGTTTGCTATTAAATGACCGAAAAAGAAATTTGTCAACGATTGGCAATTATCTTATTATGAAAGTTTTGGGGTCTTCCATAAAATACGTATGTATTATATGGAAGACCCCAAAAACAGGTAAAATGTAAACATATATGGGGGAGGGGGAATTACCCAAAAACGTACGAATACTTACCAAATGGAAGGGATTAAAGACATCAATCTCTTTATCTCTGCTAAAATTTGATTTTTTTTAAAACGAAAGTATTGAAGTTGAAGTTTAAAAAATCAATATTATGAGAAAAGAGAAATGTCGAACTAACTAAAAAAATTTTTGTTTTTAATTTTGGGTTGGGGAAGGGGGAGATGATTTTGTAATAAATAATGCGTACGTACGCAGTAAGAAAAGTTGAGGGGGGAGTCATTGAAAACATACAGATGCATCAAAGGGGGAGGGCGGGGGATCCTAAATCAGTGGTTTTACTGCGTAGGTACTTTACGGATGCTCTTTTATTGTTAAAATTTTTATGATAATAAAATTTGGTTGTTGGATAGGTTTGGAGTGCTCAATAATTTTCTCCACAAGTCCAATATTTCTTTAGAACACTTAGTGTTATTTTTATACTTCACAGTGGCAAAGAGAGCTTTGAGATACTAATAATTGGTAACCAGTTATAACTAATAACATTTATATACTAAATTGCCTAGAACAACCTACTATTTTTTATGTAAAAATTTTTTATCCATGTAAATAAATCAATTTATATTTTTTTCTAAATCCATGTTGATTTAAAAAACAATTTGTAATTAGAAATCCGCAACAAGATCACAAATAATTGATTTAACAAGGAAATCGGTAATAAAGATATCAGTCTGTAACTAAGTGCATTATCTTCTTTTTTAAATAAAACAGTAACATCTCCATATTTGAAGAAGTTTCATTTCTGACTTCTGGTATATTTGAAGTAACTTCATTTCTGATAATGACTTCTGGTATATTTGAAGTAACTTCATTTCTGATAATGACTTCTGGTATATTTGAAGTAACTTCATTTCTGATAATGACTTCTGGTATATTTGAAGTAACTTCATTTCTGATAATGACTTCTGCTATATTTGAAGTAACTTCATTTCTGATAATGACTTCTGGTATAGTAATGCTAAAAGTTTGCTCAGAGCTTTATAGCACTTTTTAACACAAAAGGACTAATACCATCAACACCAATAGCTTTATAAACAATAAGTTGTTGTAATTTGATTTTAATTGTATTATAACAAGTTAAATAAATAATATTGATAAACAGAATGCTATTCGCGGTAACTTTATTTACAAATATTAAAACTATTAGTCAACAAATTTGTTATACCATCTCCTTCAACTATACTTATATTTCTGTCTAAAAATTGCAAGAAGTTATTGTCAAACAGTTTTTAAAAATAAAATTAAAAAACAAAATCATTAAATGCAATTATTTAAAATATAATTAACCTAATTATCTGAAAAAATTATATAAAATTTGAAAAAATTTAAACTAAATCTCGAAGAAATATTTTTAAATTAAATATTAAAAATAATCTAAAATCAATACAAATAATAAAAAAAAACTTTATATTGTAAAAAAATTCAATTAAAAAAAAAAAATTAACTTCAGTAATATGTTCCCATAATAAGTTAAAGTAATTTTTTTCAGTCATATCTTCTCAGCTATTTTATCCGGGTCAGGTCAGGATTAGGATCGTCATGGTCACTCTGCTGTTGGTAACTTGCAATCTAGTACTACTTTTCTTATGCCCTACTGCCTTGTAGGATTTATTTTTCTAAACAAATGTTAGGAAAAGTTACCTCTGGCTTAAAATACTCAGTGCCTTGGAGTTCTTGGTTGAGTAAAAGCTTGAAATGGTGTCTTGATAAAAATAATTATCTTGGGTTAATGTCAACTGCATTTGGCTGCTATTTTAAAGAAGGACTCCGAGGAAAAGACATAAGCAGAAAATTTCTGTTAACCAGCCTGGCTTTAGCTTGCGCCTCCTTGGTAGTGACAAAGCAGCTCTTTCTGAATACAATATGCTAAAAATATTAAACAAAAAAAAACAATAAAAACATCATTGCTATCAAATTGTTACAATATATCTTTTACAAAAACTCATACTCTTTAAAGTAACTTTTATCCATTGGAATTCCTGTCTTGCAAAACTCACCCGACTGATTTGCTCTTTAAGAGACTAATTTAATTTGGTTACTCCAGCATCCAATCTCAGTGTTGATGGCTATTAGTTTTTGACTCATAAAAACTTCAATATTATGACTTGACCTTGAGAAATACCTATAAGGGTTATGATATTTTCAATTTTTGTTAAAATATCAACATGGTCCTAGCACTAAATGATGAGCAATAGTGCCAAAATGAGATATATAGTATATTTTACAAAAACCTCACCTCACAGATTGGAATATTTTGTTAGAAGTGCAGTACTATAGAAACGACCAAATTTTAGTTCTTTGGAAACTATTAATTCTCTGTGAGTATTTGTTCATTGTTGTATTATCTGTTTCCGCTTTCAGTTGTTGCATGTCTGGGGTTGTTTTCAGTGTGTTTACTTTCAAGTTACCTTTTATGGAGTATGTCATATATAAAGAGCAAGAAGATCTAAAAAAAATTCTGGTACTTGGAGAAAAAACTTGACAGTATACCAAAAGTGCCACACAAAGGAAATTGTGGTTTATTTAGAATGCCAAAAGATAAAAAATCAAGAAATGTTAGAAATAAGGTGATTACTGATGAATTAAAGAAATTGCAGCAATAGTTGAATAATGCATTAATTAAAAAACATAATTTTGAAACTTTTTCAAACACCATAAGGAATGTGTTCAAGTTAAATTTGAAAATGTGTTTGATATTACAAAAACAGATGACATCTAATTGGTACCTGAAGATTTTTTGAAATGCAGATTAAATCTAATTGGTACATCTAATTGGTACCTGAAGATTTTTTGAAATGCAGATTAAATCACAAAGTGTAGTTGGCTATGCAAGAAAAACACACATTAAAGTGCACCCATTAAAAGTTAACAAAGGAAATATCTCAAGCAGTAGTGCATGTAATCTTCTTTAAATAGAAATTTAGAATCTGAAATTGTCTCCAATATATAAAAAGTATTCAGAAACCTTTGACGATGATACTGATGACTGTGAATATACTGTTGAACCCCTACGCTAAAAAAAGAAAGACCAAGTAATATTCCACTACAGAAACTGCAGTTCATCTAGTTAAAATGAATAATTTAAGTGCCTCTAAATCAGTAAGAGTTTGTAAACAACTACCTGACCAAGGTATTGATATCATTATACCAACTCAATCTGCAATATGTAAGACATTTGTTAGAGAATTACAGAAAACGCAGCAGAACTTAAAAGAAACTCTTAAAAATAAAAATTGGGCTCTGCATTTTGATGGTAAGAAAATTAACGAGGAAGAAATGCAAGTTATAGTATTAAAAAAACAGCTCCATGAAGTTCGCCTAGCTACAATAACTCTTAGTAATGAAAAAGCATTAACAATATTTAATGGAATAACTGAGGTGTTATACCTATACCATTTGTGGGAAAGCATTACAGTTACAATCTGTGATACCATATAGTCAATGACAACTATGCAAATCTTAGAAATGACTTTCAACAAAGTGATGTAAAAATAAAATTTAAAAACAACAAATGGCAAATCAATACTCAGTTTTTATATGAGTTGGGAAATCTTTATCGATATTACCAAGAACATGGGTTATTTATCTTTATTACTTTTAAAGCATTACTTAATAAAAGTAATGCAAGCTGGAACTCTAGAGCATTTCTTTATTTGCTTTTCTGCTACTTCCAGAAAAACATGACTGAAATTTGTGAATTGACTTGTGAAACTTGGTTTAATGTTTGGTTCAGTGACCATTTTTATAACAAAAAGAATTATGAGAAATTGGACAACGGTTCAAAGAAAAAGAAAAATCACAAACAATTTTTAGGAAACATCAGAATAGACACAATACAGCAATTCAAACACAAAGAAATACACTTGTATAGAAAAAGCAATTGAAATCATGCAAGAAATAAAGTGTAAAAGTGCTGAAAAAATTAATTTGAAGTTTATAATATCAAACAAGTGATTGTATTTTATTATTTTATTATTCAATTTTGAAGTGTGTTTTATTATATATTATAGTCAAAAATAAAACTTTATCCAAATTTGACTGTCACAATATTTCCAAGACAGTTTTTTCTAGGTCCTGGGTGAGGTTGTTGAAGTAAAATCAAAAATAAATGTTTATTTCAGTGTTTTTATACTATAAGAATGTTGTCACTCTAATACCTATGTATCAATTCAACTATTAGTCATTAAATCAGATTTAAACCCTTTTTTCTTCTTCTCAAGACTGCACTCTTTTTAATGTTGTTTCCGAACAAATTTACTAAGCAATTTTTCTTTATCCCTAAACCATTATTGTTAGGTACATGTAATTCCGACTTTAACAGAACCGTTTTCTTTGTCCAAACTTTATGCCACACTTTTTTTAGTATTTTTAAGAGTGGCTGGGTATGAACATGTTTTGCTGTGTTCTTTTTTTACAAATTTGTATCAACATTTTTTTTGAGTATTAGAATAGTTAGAACTTTAATTCAGCATGGAAATCTTCTTTGTAAAATTTTGTTTATAATGAATTTATCGTTGTTTAAAACTTCCTTGTTGCTTGTGCATTAGGTATGTATTGAAGGAATATTGAGACTATTTTCTAATATATTCAGATTTTTGCAAAAACCTTTTTTCTTGCTACCTGCCAAATTTCATGAAAAAAAAAAAGCTCGACCAGACACCCTACTAACTTACCCAAAATAGGTACCTATTTTTGATTTGAGTTCCGCTATACACTCAGATAATTGGGTAAGGGCGTATCATAATAAACATTCAAATATTAATAATGTTTAAATGTATATTATGATATAAATAATATTGAATGGTAGATACAAAATAATATAAAGCATAAAAAATAAAATAAAAAATTTAAATTTTCTTTAAAAAAAACCTAGACTTTAAATATATTAAAGAGTGTTATAGACCCCTTTCTAATGCCCCGGATATGTCTTTTATGTATCCTTATTCCCCTTTTTAAGACCTTTATTTTGATACCAAGTTTATAAATTTTGATAAGAATTGAAAAAGTTATGACATTTAAAATTGAGAAAAATCAATATTTAGTCACTGTTTCTAACCAATATTAAGTTGATAAAATCAAAACTCACACAATAAAAATGAAATTATTTACATTTGGATCTATAATTTTAATACCTTTATTTTTATTTTTTTAAGTTTGATTCTAAAGGAATACAAATATATTTATAACTCTTTTTAATTCATTACAAAACTAACTCTATCAAATGAAATTAGCTTACAATTTTTCCACCCAAAATAAATGTGACAACAGTAAGAAACATCTAAGTTTTTGTTAAGAAATATAATGTTTTGTCAATACCTATTCATTAAAAATGATTATTATTATTAAGAACATTTTTTTTAAGTTATTAAAAATAAACCTTTTAAACTATATTTTTTAGAATTTATTTTTAGAAAAAGTAAAACTAATAATAATAATGGTTTATCATCAAAGTTATTCATAAGACATCAGATCTCAGGTCATTTGTGATTAAAAAAAGGGCCTAACATAAATACAATGTGCTGAAAAATATCAAATATCAATAATTGGTGTTAGAAAGAAGTGTATAAAAAATGAAACAACTAGTTATGTTAAAAATTAAAAAAGACTTGGTCACCTAAGACTTCAACAAGAACTGATATGCTAATTGGATGGATAGCAAAGAAAAATTCAACAATAAGCCAGATTATTGAAAATCTTAAATTTAATTTTTAGGGTCAAGCTGTACAGAGAAGACTTAATTCAGAAAATCAAACCCCTCATTAGTGTTATAAACAAAAAAAAATGTTTAGCATTTGCAAAGCTGCATGTTAACAAGGGTGAACTCAGTGTTATGCATATCAGTTCTTGTCTGATGAGCATACCCGTTCTTGTCTGATAAGAGTAAAAATCAAATATTTGGCTTTGAAAAATGACAAAGAGTTTTTTTGTTATTTAGTTCTGTTTCACTCCAAACAAGGCTGCAAGCAACCACTATTAAGTTGGAAGTTACTAGAAAACAAAAATAGAATTAAAAAGAAAGGAAATGGTTGAAAGAAGATTAAAAAAGGTTGCAAGTTGTATGAGTCAGGAAAATATAAACATGGAAGAGAGTTCAAAATGGATGATGAATAAAGCAAGAATGATGAATCAAGCAAGAATGATTTTTGGTTGATGGAACACAGTGAGAGTATTGCCTTTCATCAATATAGGAATACAGTATTGCAATAGTTGCTTTCAGTAAATATTTGCAATAGTTGTTTGTCACAGACCTTGTGATGCATTTTTAAAAATATAAAAAAACTGTCAAGCATGGAAGTGACTAACATATGTTTGAGGATGCTTAGCTTCAAATGGTATTGGAAGGCTGGTGAATGTTGTAGGTATAATGACAGGACAACTGTATGCTGATTTGCTTTGCAAAAATTTAGGCTGATCTGCCAAATTTAGATCGCAAATTCTTTTTTCAACAAGTCAACAAACCCAAATACTAGCAAAGTGGCACAACAATTCCTCAAAAAAAGTAAAGTTAAAATCCTTAAGTGACCACCACAAAACTTTGACCTTAACTTGATTGAAAATTTATAGAAACAAACATATAAAAAAAGAATTTAAAGAGATTCTTAGTGAAACTTGGAATTCAATTGGTGCTAACACCACATCAAAGCTTGTAAAAAACATACCATGAAGTTTAGAAGCAGTCATAAATACAAAAGGTGGTAGCATTATTACTACTTATTAATCACTATATTATAATATAAGTAATAGTGCCTACTTGATATAAGATATTCTTAATTATCCTTGAATATTAGAACTTTACTCAGTTATATTTTATCATTTGCTTGATTCACTTTATTTACAATTTCTTTCTGTTCGTTTATCTGTTGATATTTTACATATTGTGTAACATATTAATCATTTAATTATATATTTTGAAAAAAGTTAATTCAAAATATGTAATTGAATGATTTATTTCAAAGATATTTACAAATAGTAATGCTACTAATCTTAAGTAAAACCAAAAATACTTATCTTTTTATATATAATTATTTTTAATAACAATAATAATAATAATAATAGTAATAACAATAATAATAATAATAATAATAATAATAATAATAATAATAATAATAATAATAATAAAAATAATAACAATAAAAAAAATGATAATAGTATAAATAACAATAACAGCAATAATAACGACTACAATAAGAATATTGCAAAAGGAAATTTTGAAAAAGGCTATTAAAAGACAATAGTCAATATAAAGAAATATAAGAAACAGAAAGAAAAGAAATAAACCAAATAAAATCACACGGTGATGTCATCACACTCTAAAAATAACCAATAAAAATGTACACTTAAGAAATACAAAAAAATGTAAAAGCTTAAAGAATGTTATAGAAAATGTATCTAAACAACAGAAAGCTTAAATAATAACTAATCATAAATAACAAAAGTACAAAAACTAAAAAGATACAAATTTGTAGCATCATATCATATATTTATTAACAAACAATACATTACGTTTAAATCTTTTTTATAGATATAACACTTACCATTTGATATTTCTTCTATAGTTTTTTTAGGTTCTATGTCACTGATTTCATTGTATTTTGGTACCTCGTTTAAATCGATTTTTTCATCGTCTTCAAATTCCGAGTCATTTTTTTCTTCGTCGCTAATATCAGCCATGTTTGTTTATACCTTTTTACAAGATGGAGACGCATAGCGTGAATTATCTTTAAATAAAAAAAAGAAAAGTGGGTGTGTGTCAACCAGTCAATCTTTTGAAATTGAATACTTTATTTTCAGAAATATTTAGAAGTCTAAGAGATTAAAAATTAATGGAACCTAATAGAAAGTTTTTCTTCTTAGTATTAAGATAGAGATTAGTGTGTAAGAGAGGGAGGGGCTGGGGAAAGAGGGGGTAGAAAGTAGGAGACGGTTTAAAATTTAACAATTTTTACACAATTTTTAAAGCAAAATAAACAAATAAATAATAACATCGCGTTTTCAATAAATTCAATATTTAATATGTTGACTTAAAAAGTCTGTTTTATGACATTTCGCTTATAGGCACAAATATAGTACAAAATACAAAGATGTTTCAACATCCACCCCTTCCCCACAAAAAATTCTTGGATCCGTCACTGATGACAGTTATAAGAACTTTTTTATCATTAGATACCATATTTAAATTTGGCAGTATTAAAGAAATTTCGCAAGCTTCTTGTGGCATTTACAGATGCAAAAAAAAAGAAAAACGCCAAATTGGTCAAAGTGCTTTTTGTACCCTCAATACTTTCAGTCTGAGGGTATATATTATAATATCGACTTATGCCTATAGACATTATATTACAAATACAGGGGCGGATGCAGGATTTTTTGAAGTTTGAGATAACTAACTTCCAGACATGGAGCGAACTCAAAACTTTTATATGTTTATAGTTATATCAAATAAGGATACTTTGCATAAAATTGAGATGATAGGAGCCTGGGAACAAAAAAGCCCCAAAATTTTTGCTACACCTGCCCCAAACGTGAGAGCAACAAGTTGATAAAATAATTTTTTTACTATTCTCAACTAAATCTATATTCATCGAGAATTTTTAAAATTCATACAATAATCTCTTAACGTTCAAAAGTTATAGCCACATAAAGTTTGAATCCCCCTCAATTTGAGGGGGTTACAATTTTTATAAGACCATTATTACTGAACGCTAAAAGATTTTTTTACAAAATTAAAAATTTCTCGATGAATATAGATTTAGTTGAGAAAAGTAAAAAACTAATTTTATCAACTTGTTGCTCTCACGTTTGGGGCAGGTGTAGCAAAAATTTTGGGGCTTTTTTATTCCCAGGCTCCTATCATCTCAATTTTTTGCAAAGTATCCATATTTGATATAACTATAAACATATAAAAGTTTCGAGTTCGCTCCATGTCTGGAAGTTAGTTATTTCAAACTTCAAAAATCCTGTATCCGCCCCTGAAATAATGTCGTTAGGCATTTTATAGACTGGAAACGTAAAAAAAGAAACGTCGCTGAAACAATTAAAACGCTTAAATACTCTAAATTGAGTAACCCTCTAAAACTTTTAAACTCAATTTAAACCTTTTAAAACTTTTAAACGTTTAAAAAGGTTTGAATTGAGTTTAATAAGTTTTAAAAAATTTAAACCGTTAAAAGTTTTAAAAATGTAATTTTGTGAATTTTTTTCTTGTTTTTGCTGTAATTTGTCAAAATAATTTGCGAAATAAAACGAGGTCGCAAATTTTCAATAAATATTAAAATATACTATTTTACGATATATAGTTATTAACAATAAGAATATAACGTTATTGTAAATAATAAAGTGAATAAAAAATTAAGGCTGTAATAAACTTTGATCAAAATCTGATAATTTAATTACATATAAATTTTTTTTTAAAAATAAATTTTTTTTTTAAATATAAATTTTTTTGTCGAAATTATTTCTGAGCACCTTAGAAACTTGAGGTTTTTAATAAACGAAGTTTTTAAATCTATAAATGGTTTAAACCCAGAGTTTATGTCAGATCTTTTAAATCCCTTCCGCTTAAACTTCGCTGTAGTAAAATATTAATACCACCACCGATAGTCTCTAAACATAAGAACATAAAAAATAACTTATACAGAGCAACCTTGCTATGGAACTCTCTAGATAATGAAACGATGTCAATAAATTGTCTAAAGATGTTCAAAAATAAAATTTTAAAATTGCATAGAAAATGTTGTTTTTGTAAAACTAGTCAAGAACAATTTTTTTTTTAAATTTATTTTGATATTTTTGTTTTTATTTTTACCCAAAAAGAATTAAATTGTTGTAATTATTGTCATTTATTTTACTTCTTTTATTAATTTCTAGAATTGCAATATATATTTACACATATACATATACACAATTGCAATTTGATTTAAATTTGATTTAACTCACAATATAAATGTTTTCGTGTATCGTCTGATACAGTTTAATGATTAGAGTCAGGTTAATTAGATTTTTATTAGTTTATATATTTTATAAAACTATTGTAAACATTCAACTGAAAATAAAGTTTTTAAATTAAATTAAATTATTTTTCTGCCAACGGCATGGAAGTTAAATTTCCAATTTTTATCTTATGTCTTGAACATTAAACTACTATTTTATTATTTAGTTTTAAAATAAAATTATTATTTTTTAAAATAGTCAAAAATCATGTAATAAATTATATTAAAACGTAACTTTGATGTCAATTTTTTAACATTTGTTTCTAATCATTATATAAATTGCTGATTAACTTAAAAACAAACGTCAAACTGTTTTTAACTACTTCTATCGGCGTTAGGCAAATATTTCGGCCTCTAATTTTGCGGCTGTATCCAGTTGGGATGCTGAAGTCGCGGGATGAGGCTTCTAAATTATTTTGCCTAAAAAATTTCGTTTGGAGACGGCCTCTAAAACAATTTGCAGCTAAAAAAAACTCTGGCGGCGGCCGCCAATAGAAAGACGGAAACCACTGGAGGCGGAAGGAAGAACGTTTTGCCGCTAAAAATTTGTTGGCCACCACCGCAAACGGCTTCTGTCTCCCTAAAAAATTAGAATTTCGGCAGAAAATTATTTTTTTTTTCTTCTTCTTATTTAAGTGCCCTAAATAGTCCTTACGATTTTATCACAGAGCACCGCGAATGAGCATTTAACTGGAAATTTACGCCTTGTTCCTAACCAATGTTGCAAAACTTGCTCATAGGTGGGATTTGAAACACGGATCTTTTGTTTCTGAGATAAGTGCACAACCACTGCGCCACGGCTGCTCACTTTGCCGTAGGGCTACATTATCAACTCTGGTTTGAATAGTTTTTGAAAATTTTAGACCCAAACACAGCAAGTACAAGTGATGTAATAAGAAAAAAATTTAGTGTGCTAAATGCTAAATGTTAGCATGCTTTTATCCAAAAATCTCCCGATTGCCATTACCGGCGATTGGGAGATTTTTGGACAAAAATTAACGCAGTGGAAACTTGCAGAAAAAAAAGCAACAAAATTTTTTTTTTTAAAGTTTTAATGCATTTTCAAAACGTATAAAAGAACTTAAAAAGTATAAAATAGTTTTGAACCATTTTATTTTACTTCATCTTACCGTTGTTATTATTGTAAATAAATTATTAATATTAATAAGTATTGTAAAATAAATTGTTTAATAACCATATTAAAATTGCTTTTGAATTGCACATTTTTTTTCCCTTTAATCGGAACAAGCTTATCAAATAAAATTCCTTATTTTAATGACAAATCAATTGATGAATTCATAACATTACATGATTCAATTTTTAAATTTTAAACCTAACATACAGCGAATTTGAAGCAGCATTTAAATCATTAAAACGAATTAAAGCAATTGGGGATTGATTGCACCAATGAAAATTTTGTAATAGACTTCTTTGACGTTTTGAAAGATATACTCTTTAAAATTTGTAAAGCATTTATTGCTAAAGGATTTTCTTCTTTGCCGTTATTAACAAATGTAATATATGGTGTTACACAGGGATCCATAGTTGGGCCACACCAGCTGGTTGTTAGCATTTAATGCTAATAACCAGTTGGTGTGTTTTCCACAAATTATTGGATCAGACTTCTCGGAACATTCTCCTCCAACAAAATTTTAAACGACTCTCTCTTTTCTTTTTTTTAAATTTCAAAACTGGAACGTTTCTTTCAATATTGACACAACATCAGCTAGCAGGTCTTCGATATGTTGCAAGAACTTAATTTTTTGTAAACCAATTGTATTGCAGGCTTCAAACACTTCATTTGTAAAGAATTTTTTATTCTGTACTGCCTGTAATTGATTGATTATCAGTGAATAGCAAGTTTGATTAATCATTAGCCTGAGAAAAATATGTATGTTAAATAAACAACAATTAAAACAACAACATTATTCGTTTATCCACTGCCATTTAAATTATGCAAATATTATATGGGGAAACAAGCACAAAAGTAAATTTAAATCTCTTTTTCAGCATCAGAAACACGCATCTCGCTAATTAATTTTGTAAATCATTTTTCAAATTCAAAACCACTTCTGAGAGAAATGAAAACCTTAAATGTATATCTCCTGATGTATTTATAAACCTTTATAATGTAAAACCCATAAATAAAATACAATCTTTGTAATGGAAAAAATCTCCAAGAACCTTTCTGCTAAACTAAATTTGAACAACTATTTATTTCTTATCACGGTCCATACTTATGGAATAAAATAGTTTTGCTTAATTTTGATTTGTCTTTGAAATGGACTTTAACTTCTTTCAAACTAAAATTAAAAGAAGTTATCTTTTCAACAGAAAATATTTTTTCTTATTTTTAGCTCTTTTGAATATATTTTATCCAGTATATTTACATTTTAAATGCACAGTTTTACATTGTTTAAGTTGATTTGTTTTTATTAGTTTTTATTAGATTTTTTTTTTAAATTATTATAATATTTGATAATGCTAAGTGCTTCATGATAAAATCATATGATCTTCTGGAGGCCCTTCCAATTATATTTGTTATTAATCTATTCTGTAATTGTACTTTTTTTATTGAAGGCAAATAAATATATATAAAAAAAATGAAAAAAATAAAATAAAAAATTGTAAATTGTTTTACTTTCTTTAAAGTTTTTTTATTTTATAAAATGTCTTAAATTTGTTTTGTCTATAAGGGCTAAACACTATCTTTTATTTTACATTAAGCCAA